GGGCTATATAGGTTTTCTCTTCTGGGATGCCCAGTGGGGAACTGAATTCCCAGCTTCTGGCTCTACAGCCAGACACCTAACTCACTGAGGTATCCAGCCAGATATAATTGTGTGCCATCAAGGGTTTTCCTTTCCTTTCCAGGGTTTAAACATTTATATAGTTCACCTTCTTGAACACTCACAGTACCGGATTTTTTCCCCCCAATGGCTAGGATATCTCTTGATCAACTATATAAGCAACTCATAATACCAGATAAAAATGCTAGTTTTGTATTCGTTTTTGTAGTTTTAAAACTTTTTATTTCTTTTTTTGCTTTTGGCCATAATGTTTGCACAAACTAACACTAACCCTTCTACAGGTTAAAAAAAAAAAGAGTATGTGTTTAATTTGGCAATCTGATGGCGCTACCAGCTTTATCAGTTATTCTGGCACATGGTGTCCAAGCTGTTTAATCAGGAGGTACAACACTGTTTCTCTTTCACCAGAGCCAAACGTGCTCATCATCAGCATCCAGCAACAGGGACATGAAAAAGAAATCCAGACCCATAATCTGCCTATGAATTGTTTTCATAGGTGGCAGGAAGAAAGAGAGAATATAATAAATAAAAGAAAAAATGTCATGTTCCCTTTACACTAACAGGAGTAGCAAGAAGAGGGAAGAAAGATAAAATTCAGCTTTTCGAACACTAACAGTACTGGATTTTTTCAGAGGCTAGGATATCCCTTTGTCAGCCAAATGATTGCCCCTTTTTAACCCTGAGTGTGAACTGACTCAGGTGGCAAAGTAAGGTCAACCGAATAAGCATTTCCTGAGCAGCTTGTTTTCCTTGGAGATGTTCCATCCAAGCCATAACTGTTGGACTGTTAATTTTCTAGCTGGCAGCTGTAATGTGATACACCCCCACCTCCACAATTTAGTTGAGTGGCCAATGGACCTGTGTCTCCACAGGAAAAGAAAAACTGCCAACACAATAAACACTAATTAGTTAGTGCACTCCTTGGTATTGTTGGCAGAGACTTTCAAGGGCAGAATCAGCATATGGAATGAGCTGCCCCTTTACCCTTTTAGATGGCCTCTCTGGGTCATGGTTGAGGCTGTTTGTGTGGAATGGTGGGGGAAGCTTGCATTTCAACTGATCCACTGCCCGCTCATTGAATTTGCACTATGAACTGACAGTTGACTTAACATTCCCTATATTGGATGTTGTGGGTTTTTCGGGCTCTTTGGCCATGTTCTGAAGGTTGTTCTTCCTAATGTTTCGTCAGTCCTCTGTGGCCAGCATCTTCAGAGGAACAAAAACACACTGATCACCATAATCACCCATCTCCTGAAAAGGACAAAAGCTGATCTTACAGCCATGAATACTCAACTCCCAAACAATCTGCACCAGAGCACAGAGTGCTATCCTCTGAAGATGCCGGCCACAGAGACTGGCAAAAGGTTAGGAAGAACAACTTTCAGAACATGGCCAAAGAGCCTGAAAAACCCACAACAACCATTAGATCCCAGCCGTGAAAGCCTTCGTGAATACATTCCCTATATTGTCAAACCCAAAAACATTTATCACATTTATCAGTCAATTCTGATTTATATTGACCCTTGTCAAAGTTTTCTAGATAGGGAGTACTCAGAAGTGGTTTGCCTTTACCTTCCTTTGTGGCATCCTGGGACAGGGCAACTTGCCCAGGCTGGCTTTCCTCTCCAGAGGCACAGTGGAGAACTGAATGTCCAGCCTTTGGCTCTGCAGCCAGATATTTAATTCACTGAGCTATCCTGCCACCCCCAAAAGAATTACATGTATTTTATTCAGTCAAAATGAATTGTACATAGGATTGCTTGATAAGTGGTATAGCATTTCCTAAGATTTTGGGACCAGAGCCTCAGACCTAGGGACAGGTCCATCTGATGACATGTGGGTCAGACCCTGATGCTGTCATGAGGGAGATCTAGAGCAACAGTTTCAAAAATGGTGTGTATGACAAAAAGCTGATGTAGGGACTTGCTGATGTATTTAAAGCTATTGTATGAAGTCTAGGAGATGCTACCCTACAGCATGCAAAGTAATGAAAACAACAAGGCAGTTTCTGAGCATATCTGCATGGTATGGCCTGGAGCCATGAGAAGGAAACCTAAATCTAGGACTGCGAGGTTGACAGTGTCTGCAAGGCTGAGAGAATAGACCTGTCTCTCAGGGACAAAGCTTGAGACTCGGTCACCCACATAATACCACCCTGAAATCCTAAATAGAAAGATTGAATAGATAGATGACTAAAAAAAGAAAGAAAAAAATTGAAAATCAACCAGAGCACATTATAAGCTCAGTTTTCATCTGTTCTGAAGAAAATGGAAAGAGGCAGAAATGGATCTCCCCTTTGTAACATTCAGCATTGGGAGGAGATAACTTATTCTGATGACAGCAAGGGTGAAATGAATGGCTGTTCTTGCTAGCTGCCACCTCCTGTGTTCCAGAGAATTTATTGTGGGGGAGAATAGCAGATGCTTAACAAAAATGACAGCACCTAAGTCTTGGTGATCATTTGTTACCCAGCAAAATGTGCCCAAAGATGTAACCTGGCAGATATCCTTTGATTTGTACTCCTGCGGGTTGGACTTGACGCCCTCATAGAATCATTCTATGATTCATTCCATGACTCTCTATAACATGCTGGTTTTTCTGGATGGGACCAGAGGTTGCAAGGAACATCTGTTGGCTTATGCATGGCCGTCATTTAGCAAAACATTGTTTAAAAGTAAAAGAACACAAAAATCGTATCAAAACATACAGTAGTAGAATGAAGCTGTATCAAAAAGTACAGAAACTTGACTAGATGGCCCTTGGAGTTCTTTCCAACTCTACAACTCTGCAAAACTACTATTAAACATTCATTTAATTTATATCCTGACTTCTTGCTAGTGCAGAACACAAGGCAGCTTACAACAGATATAGCTAAAAGACTGTGAGTTATGTATAATATTAAACTGCTGTTAAATAAATTGTCATGTTAACAAACACTGAATTACAATAATTGAAACACTATTCAAAACAACAAGAAAAAGGGAAAAAAAGAAAACCACCTACAATAAATTCAATAACTTTAGTTGTCTTAGCCTTGTGTCCTCAACAAATGTTCCTGTAGGGGCAGCGAGACTGAAAGAAAGTCTTCTGTGAAGATGTCAAGAGATGGGCAAGATGTTATGAGGAGTTATGGGCCTTCAGATAAGCAGAACCCAAGTCACTTAAGACTTTATAGGTCATAATCAGCCATCTGAATTATACCTGGAAATGGATTGGTAGTCAGTGATCTTATATTACCAGGGTCCTTTTTTTCTCACTATAAGCAACTCTAGTCAGCAATTTGGCTTCAGCAATTTGAATCTCCTGACATTTCCAAACATCTTCCAAAGGCAATCTCACATAGAGTGTATTGCAGTAATCCAGACAGGATGTAACTGAGTTATGCGTTACTGTGACCAAATAGTACATCTCCGAGAATGGTGAAGCTGACACACTATTTTAACTTTGCAAACAAATTCCTGGCCACTGCCGAAATCTGGACATTCAGAATTCAGGACTGAATCCTAAAGTGCACCCACACTGCAAATGTGAGTTTTCAAGGAGATTTTAATCCCATCCTACAGAGCAACATCTCTTTCTTATCCTGATGAAGTTTCAGTTTTATTTGCCCTCATCTGGTACATAGTTTTGACAACAGGCACTGGTTTAGCCTGCAGACATTTTCCTAAGATTCTGATAGAAAGAAGGGATAATTGCTGAGTGTCATTAGCATATTGATGCAACTGACTCAGTGTCATTAGCATACTGATATCATTGACTGCAAACTTCTGGACACTTTCTCCCAGCAGTTCCATGACTCTATGAAACATGATAACCACTACCAAAATTAATTTACACATTAATAATAAACAAATTAATCCTGTAATCTACAAAATAAATGAGTTTTCAAAATAAGGTCTCACATGCCTTGGTGACCATAACACAGTAATCTCTGACATTTTGTTTTTGTTTTGCTTCATTCAAAGTGAGTCTGAAAATAGAACTTATAACTGTCCTGGACACACAAATGAGATCACACTCACTCCTCCTATATGTGCAGCAACATGTCCCAATAAACATTAATTTCTCTTCTGAGAGTACACAGATAGACAAACCTTTGTTCTTCACTCTGTAGCCAATATTTCTGCTCTTGGTCTGAATTCTAAATCACTTATCCAAAACTTAGATATCCTTAGCATAATGTTAAATTAGTTTAATCCTATGCAAAATATAACCTCAAGCTTTTCACTGCTTCTATCACACTGATCACTATTGAAGGTTTGCTTTCTGTCAGCAGAAACAGACCTCAGAAGTGAGGTGCAGCTCAGTAAATGCAAATCTGCGGTCCATCTTAATCCATGCATTCTCCAGCACAAAGAGCTTTTCAGGATCCCATGCAGACATTTCCTTAGCCTTGGTATTCAAAATATCTTGAGGCCAAAGTAAGACGATTGATTAATGGAGCACAATCAACCCCTAGCAGTTGCTTTATGTTACCATTTTTTGCCTCCTATGCTTCCTTCTTCAATAAATGTCAACATACATAACCAGTCAGACCAGATGTTATAGAAAAGCGAGTTTGATGATGTGGTACCCAGTTTCTAACTTGCTTAAGAATGCCGTTGTGCAAATCTCAAGAATGGCTACAGTAGTTGCAGTCTAGGAAATCCAAAGAAAAAGTAGCCTCAGTAGACACGGTAAATGCAGCTGAAAATAATTTGAAAACCACAATATTATGGTAAAGGCAAACTCATCAAAGTTTTGAGGACCAGAGATGCTGAACCCATGTACTCCACTCAGGTGTTTCAAGCTTTGGGATTCAGGAATGCATTTTTCTTTTCTTTTTGCGGTTTGAACTATTCATGTACATGACTCCAAGGGGAGCTTCACCCTCATCACAGTGGAAATCTGCACAGAAAATAATAGTGGATGTTCAGACTTACTGAAATAAAAACCTCTTTCTCCACAGACAAATTGAAGCGCATCCACTAGCTCCGCACCGCAAAGTGTCTCTGGGCCAGCAGCAGCAGATGAACTGGTTAACGTAAGCAAACATAGACCGAAGTAGAAAAGATGAACGTAGGACACAGTGAGCATCTTCACCTGCAGAGAAAGTTAAAAAGACCACGTCAGCATTTCATACTGGAATCCTCAAATATGGCTTTCTATGGTGGCCACCAACACATCACTGCTCCACGAGGAAACGCATAGTCAGGACCAGAAATTCAAAAAGTTACTCTTTTTTTAAACAGCAGCTTCCATAATCCTTCATCTAAGACAGTGGTTCTTAACCTTTCATAATCCTTCATCTAAGAGAGCCAGTGGCCATGGTGACTGGGGGATTCTGGGAGCCATCATTCAAAATAGAGCTGAGCAGGACAGTTCATTTATGGCAGTATTTTGGAGATCACTCATAGGGCTGCCATATGTTGGATGTGACTTGAGGCCACATAACCACCACAACAATACAGTATAACTGATTGGGCTGAATCTGGAAATGTGAACTGAATGAGTCCAGTCCCATCCAATTTGGTTCACAGTGGGTTGAACTGATCTGCAGGTCCATGTTGAGACTATATCTGGATTGGTTTAAATCAATTTAGTGATTCAGACACTATAAGACCGTCAGACAATCTGTCCTATTCATGTTAAAATTAGCACCTTGTAAGGAAAACGGTAGGGTGTTGTGATGGGGAGTAGTAGTATTAGGGCTCGATTTTGCTCACTGACAGCTGTAGCTTGCAGTCACATACAAGAATCTCACAGAACAGTACACCCCGAAGACAGATTATGTGATGTCTCTGAAATTGTATATTCAGTTCTGTTGTACAGCTCTTCATTCTTTTGCTTCTCTTTAACAGTTAGTTGCAGTAGATGGTTACTGGTTACCATGATTAGTCTGATCTTTTCACCTCCCTACTTTTTGTCTTGTAAATGAGAATAGACTACAGTGGACCCTCGACTTACAGACGGCTCGACTTACAGACTTTTCGAGTTACAGACTTCTCTGGCTGCAAAATTTAGATTCGACTTGCAGCCGGAGAATCGACTTACAGACCAGAAAAAAACCAAAATGGAACAAAAATAGAATAAAAACTGCCAGTTGTGGGATTAATCAGTTTTCAATGCATTGTAGGTCAATGGAGATTCGACCTACAGACTTTTCGACTTACAGCCACCGTTCCAATACGGATTAATTCCTTAAGTAGAGGGTCCACTGTACTAGTCCAATCCTTTTTTTTTTTTGCCTTTCTTGTTTATTTATTTATCTGAGTAGTAATCTATTCTGTGTGAATCTTGACTAACCCTCCTTTGGGTTGTACAAGAATCTCAGCAGTACTTTCTGATCTTAGTTTTTCAAATAATGTTTTTGGACTTCGGTGGGTTTGTTTTCCCCCTGTAAATTGTGTTTCTTCTTCCGTCAGCCTATCAGTACCCAACACTCAGTCATTCTTTCCTAATTAATTCAGTCATCTCCTTCCTTACTCTTTTTATTTGTTAGTTGACACACTCTGTGTCATGGTCTCAGTGTTATTTTATACAGCCATTCCCTTGTTCCCTTACAACTCTCCATACCTTTTGGCATCAGGTGTTTAGGGGCTAAAGCTCAGGAGAAGCTAAAATGCCACCAAACATCATGTACTTACGTGAAGAAACATACAACATATGGCTACTTCTAAAGAAAAAATTAAAACTGGTTAGCTATCAACACTCTTGACAATTTTTTTCCTGGAATTTGGCAATATCTCTCTCTATGGGAGGTTAACCATGTTTGCAGATTTCATCTACATCTATGGGATGAGGAAGTTATAGCTGGTTTAATTTGCCAGTGTAAATCGAAGGTCTGAACATACAGATTCAGATCAGATCAGACTCAAATCTGTCCAAACCAAATCAGGCCCAAATTCCAATCTCTCAACCAAAACTAGAGCCTAATTGAATGCTGAACCAAACCAGGATGAGTTCGCCAACCCAATGTGTACCATTTCACTTTGGTTTGTTTTTTCTGATTAATCAAATTGATTTTATTTATTTAGTAGTCAGCAGATCAAAATAAATAATAATCTGGATCTGACGTCCCACTGAGTGTATTTCATTTAACATTTAATAACTGCATTTCAAATCTACTCATTTGGGTCTCAGTCATTAGTGGTAAAATTTGAAGTACATGACCTTGTGACAGCAATTCCTAAAACTATATCCCAAAGGGAGTCCAAGGATGTAGTCCATTACAGTACATTGATCCATATCAATTAACCAGTTCTTGCATCTCTATTAAGAGCTTTTGTAAATGTAGTAGCTCTTAATTGCCCCAAAATAGGTACCCCAAAACTCTATGACTTACTACTGGGATTGCCTCTGTGTGACATTGCCTTGTTCAAGACAAAACACAACACTATCTCCAGCTATTGTGAACATTGCAGCTAAACTCATAAATATGTGACAGATGATGTCATCATCTTTCCAGAGGAGGAGGAGGAGGAAATCCTTGTGCTTCAATCTGTTGAGCCCTGATTTCACTTGTTAAGTTTACATTCTGCTCAGTTGAGTAAAGGGGCCTCTATCTACTATTCTAAGAATCCTAGTGAGGAGCACTGATTTTTGTGCCCTACTAGGGATGTGGCTGTTCCTCCATTTGCCACTGACTCTGGACCCTAAGACTATTAAGAGCATTGGGAAGGGAGAGGCTGTTTGTAGGTTTGTATGAGAACTGTTACTGCTTGAGAACTATGGTTTTTTTTTTTAACTTACTGAGTTTTAATTTCAATCCAGCTGGAGTTATGAGTTAAGTAAAATTTATAGATTCCTCTGTTATTAGGGCCTAGAAAATCCATGCTTAGATAAACAAATCAGATCTTGTGTGCCCTCAGATTCTGCTATACAACATAATAATTCCAACATAAGCAACATAAGTACATAAGCAACCTGGGGCAATTGCCTCAATTATTTAACCATTTTGGACAACTCGGCCATAAGCAAGGAAAGGTGCTATGGTAGGGGATCTCCAGCTTGGAAATGTGATTGGCAACAGATCGTTGGACCCATGATTCCCAGAAAAGGCTTCAATGGTATTACTGGATTCAGCAACTCGGATGTCCTTTATTTTCATCGGTAATTACAGAATTTCAGATATATTTTTTGCTGAAAACTTGCAAACTAACTCATTTTAATTTCATTATAAGTATATCTGTGAAGATTCTCAGTCATCCAGATGAGGTTATCTGGAAGTTGAGTCATGTCAACTGGACAACTTCATTATAAGTAGTACAGCCAATGGTGTTCCTGGAAGGAAGGCCATCTTAAAAGATCTAGGACATCTAACTGGATTAAACCTCAAACGTAATGAGGTGGAAATTGTACAAATTGTCTCAGAAAAAGGGGAGGAGAAAGGGTGGTTGG